ACTCCACAGCAATGCATTTGGTTTTTGGTTTAGTTTGCCAAAATAATTAAACAGAAATTACTGAGTTCTAGTAGGTCTTAGGTTTTACTCAATTTAGTCATTCATACTTATTTATTCTTTCAACCAATACTTGCTGAGCACCTATGATGTACCAAACCTGGTTCCAGTCACAGCACAGACTATAGGAAGACTCTGCTCTCATAGAACATACAATCTAATAGGGAGACAACAAATAAACAGATAAACAAACAAAAAAGATCAATTTCACTGCACTGTAAATACTATTGAAGCAATTAATCTGGATAGGAAAGAGAAATGTTCTATTTTTGAAAAGGTGGTCTCTCTGAACAGGTGGATACATGAACTATGACCTGCATGATAAGAAAGAGGCAGCTACCTAAGAAGCAGAAGGAAGAGCACTCCAGAAGCAGCCAAGGCTCTGATGTGGAAACAAACCTGGGATTTGGCTACAAGACACTATGCAAGAAGAAACAAGATATAATAGCAGGGAAAAAGCCGCATAAACAGGCAATATAAAAGTTTTGAAATATTTTTCTCATAGACAATTTAAGGATGAGCCTTCTTTTGGAAAATGAGTCTACATAAGTTCATTATTTTATTATATATGTAGGCAGAAGTTCCAGCCAAACTTCTTCACTAGAAAAAAGCTCAAGACATTCTAAGTCATGTGTAATTTACTCATTCAAAATGCATATGGAAAATAAGGCTCAAGTAAGTGCTTAAATATTACTTTGCTTACCAAATATGATAATTAGAGTACTTTGATCACCTTGGAGTCAGTGGATAGCACAAATGGTTACACATCTGACTACTTGCAGAATAATTGCCAACTAGAACCCATTTAGAGGTGCCACGGAAGACAGGCTTGGCAATCTGCTTCCAGAAGGTCACAGCTTTGAAAACCCTAAAGAGCAGTTCTGCTGTGCACACATAGGGTCACCATGGGTCAGAGTCGACTCAATGGCAACTAAGAACAACAACATACTTCAGAACTGCATTCTGTTTAAGCTGGCTTAGGCCCAACATGCAAATTCTCCAAAGTACCAAGGTGTTTACCTCATTCTATTGAATTAGGCAAGTAACAAAATGTTTTTCAAATTATAGTGAGGGTTTTTTTAGTCTTGGTGTAATCTATTTTCATACTACATGTGCTGTATTTGTTATATGCAGAAAACAGCACATATATATTGATCAATAATATACTAGAAGAGCAGGCATCCCTGTAAAGTAAAATATCTATGTGTGTAAATATAAACACCTTGGCTCACCTGAGCCTGAAGGGTAAGGATCACAGCAGCTTTGCAACTAGCTACTGGTGTTACCAAGCCTAGGTGAGTTTCTTTTCCTCTCTGACTTCCATGTATGGTTCAGAAATATAAGGATAGACACACTTACTTACTAGGTTGAAGAGACAATGAACTAAGTGTCTTGCAAATAGACTATAATAGCATTTACAATATGGGTTTTCAATTATACAGATTATATTCTGTCTCTTAAAATGTTAAGGTGTTGCTCACTAAAAGAAAAAAAGTAGAAAAAAGAAACCATATCTAAAGCTCTTTCTGTATCAATCCTCATGTTTCTAATTGTTCTGCTACCTATATCCATCCCATTTTGACTACCTAGTTTCTTTGAAATTTCCACTGTTTATTTCATCTCAGACACACACATGTGCACAAACACAGTAAATCATAGTTAATTGCATGTCTTAAATTAAAAGACAAAAATAATGCACAATTAATTGGAGGAAATTGTTAGCTGGTGAATGAGTCTCCCTCATTATGCGCAGGAACGATGCCAAGGGAGTGTTCCAAGCTAAAAGATTCAGTCCGTGACACTGACAGGATGTATATAGGAATACCCTTTCCAAAGAGCAGTCTGGTCTAAAGAAGCAGACACTTTAAGAAACTCAATATTCCAACTACAGGATATATCACTTTCTCCACAAGGTTGTACAGGACTGTGTAAGCAATACAACAAAACACAACACATTTCCGTGGAGTGGGATCTGACTCATAGCGACCCCTTCTTGGGTTTCCAAGGCGGTATCACCACAGAAGTAGATTGCCCAACCTTCCTTCTGAGGAGTGGCTGGTGGGTTTGAAGCACCGGCCTTCTGGTTAGCAGTCAAATGCTTTAGGCACTACACTACCAGAGCTCCCGGACTGTGCAAGATAGCTAATTATTAGAACCAAAATGTCCATTGATAAGGTACTGATAAGAGACTAGGGTTGGACAATTAATGAAAAAAATCTTAGCTTTTCTAAATGGTTTTGTCATATTTAATAACATGAGAAAATGTTTACAAAATATTATTCTGTGAAAAATGCTTACAAAATACTATGCTTCATTTTTTGAGGATATGTAAAACGTGTGAAAGAAGCAAGAAAAGACTAAAAGGAGGGGGAGAAAGAGAAAAAATATACTGGGAAAATATACAAAAGAATGTTAACATTTTCATCTCTGGGTTGTTCATACTTCCTACATTTTCCATTTTCTAAAAAAAAACCAATTTTTAAATTACATTTCAATTTCTTTCTGAATATACTATAAAATGTCCATTTATTCATAATATTTAAACTGAATTTACAAACATTTTGTTCCAAATGTAACAAAAACATCAACATAAAATTCAAAATTAATATATAATCCCATATAAGGATGTATAGACAATGCCATTGTATCTCTGGTTATATGGACAAAATCAACTTTATAAAAAGGCATTCTATAAATATACCCCAAAAAATGTTCAGTACAATGAAATTCCAATGCAACTACTGATCCCAATATATGCCTTATAGAATCTTAGCACATCATAATAAAATCACTATAAAGTTTTGTTAAATTACTGAGATTGGCAAATTACATAATATATTTATAGTAAAGCCCAATCAAAATCTTGAATGTGAGGAACTACAAGCCTTATTCTTTTCTCCATTCACCTGAACTCCTGTTATTTTGTGACAGACTTTGCATCTAGCTCTCTGGTATAACTTTGATGCTAAAATCAGGCAAAAAACAATATATACACATATGCACATACACACATCTAGTTGCATCATTTTTACAACTAGGTGAGGAAAGGACAAATAAGAAAATTTCCCAATATATCAATAGTCATGCAAACGTTTATTTCATTTTTAAGAAAAAATAATGCACAAAATAAAAAATAATTTACAGTAGATTTATTGCAATGGTATTCAACAGTATACTAATCTTCAATAGATACAAATATTTTCCATCCTCTTTTACTTATTGAGGATTGGGTGGGAAAAGATTATCATATTTCAGCAAAAGCCCAAATTTCAACCTCCGACATCTTATGTCCCAAGAGTAATATTTTCATTCTAATCTTAATGGAGTAAATTTCTAATCAGTGTAGGTATTCAAAAATAATTGAGGTGATAGAATATCAACACATGAACCTGCAAGCATTCTTCTGGCTTGGCAATCAAGTCAACATACTCTGGTATGACGGAGCCAGGGCAATTCAGAAATGTCAGACTTGATCAAGGAGGATACAACAAGTAGCGGTTGCTAGTCAGATTGGCAGTGAGTTGCTCAAAGACAGAGTTTGAAGTAAAGCTTGTAAACTGGAAGAGGTCAATCTTCAAACTTCCAAGAAGGAATGACTTAGAATGGGATCGGGTCAAGTGTCTCCCAACTTTTGCAATGTTATTGAAAACTCTTGAAACAACAGTCACTCTGGAAAGATTAAAAATGTTTCTAGATTTTTAAGCTATTAAAGTCTTCAAGCAGGAGCCCTGGTGGTCCAGTAATTAAGTACTACCCTGTTAACCGAAAGGTTAGCAGTTCAAACCCACCAGGCACTACATGGTAGAAAGTTGTAGAAGTCTGCTTCCACTAAGATTAAAAAAACTCACTGTCATCAAGTCAATTCTAACTCATAGTGACCCCCATTGGGTTTCCAAAGCAGTAAATCTTTACGAAGGTAGATTGCCCCATATTCCTTCCATGGAGTGGTTGGTAGGTTTGAACTGCTAACCTTCTGGTTAACAGTCAAATGCCTTAGGCACCTGGAAACCCTATGGGGCAGTTCTACTCCATCCTATAGGGTTGTTATGAGTCAGAACTGACTCAAAAGCATTGAGTTTTTATGTGTACAGCCTTAGGGCAACATGCTCTGTTGAATATATCCTTTGATGCCCCGAAAAAGTTCAAAAGTTTAAATTCAGGTTTCTTCAAGTTTGGCAATTGTGTTATAGTTAAAACTGGGTGATGAGTAATGGGGATATATTAATACTACCCTACAGTTTTTGAGTATGCTTGACTTTTTCGTAATAAAATGTGGAATGATCACATTTCTTTAAATGTATTTTATTTTTCAAAATTTTACCAGCCACTTGCATATGCATAAAAATGATAAAAATGGTAGAAATGGTGATATCTATCTATCTATCTATATATATATAGATATCTATCTATCTATCTATCTATCTATATATATATATCAGAAGGAGCTCTGGTAGCATAGTGCCTAAGGCACTTGACTGCTAACCAGAAGGCTGGCGGTTCAAACCCACCAGCCACTCCTCGGAAGGAAGGTTGGGCAATCCTACTTCCGTAGTGATACTGCCTCGGAAACCCAAGGAGGGGTCGCTATGAGTCGGGGCCGACTTGACGGCACATTAAAACAACATATATATATTATTATATATATTTTATATATATATATATATATATAAAATATCACAATAAAAAAAACACTGCTTCTCTTTTGGCAATCTGTATTATAAAATCTTACTTATGCTAATGATTATTTAAAATTAAGATAGAATCTTTAAAAATATACCATTATGTTTATATTAAAAAAAAAAAAAAATCTTTCACTCCAGAAAAAAATTTACCATGATCTATGATGACAGAATAAGTTATGCACCTCACCAAATGCAATGCCACCATCTGCCTGGCATTCTCACAGTGTGACAAAATAGACTGGTAATTAACTGCTTTCCTACCGAAATCTGCCAGCTTTAACTCCCCCGTGTCACTGATCAGAAGGTTCTGTGGTTTCAGGTCTCTGTGCAAAATATAACGCTGGTGGATGTAAGACAGCCCTCGCAGCAACTGAAATAAAAACAACTGAAAAACAGGGAGACAAAAGTTAAAATTTGAATACAAATAAATGTCAGTTTCTATATACAGTCTGCCTAGGTCTTGTATTTAGTGAAAATGTGTATCCATCATTAAATGTTTTACCACATTATTTAAGCAGAATATGCAGTATAAGCATGCACTTCCTTAATTCATTAAGATGAAAATCTGAGAATTCCTAACAACCTACTCCGTCAACTAAGACCTCTTCAGTCAGAGAGATTCAATCTATACTCTATAAATTAGGCAAAATGTAAAGAATCAATTCTTTATCTATTTTTTCAGGCCTACAATGATGTTTGAGAGAGTGAAAAACATATCCATAATATTATAAAGATGAAAGAAGCAGATTTGTTTACCAAGTTTATGTGAATGTGCATATTTGATTCCACAGAAACGCCACAAACATGGTACCCATGGATTTACCCATTAACATGATTTAAGGAATAGAAAGATAAGATGATTTGAAATAATTAAAAGAAGAACCAGTCACATGGTCTAATTAATACTACACTGTAATTATATTGCTATTGCACATATGGCCACAGAGATTAGACTGTTGCCTAAAGACAGACATGTACCTTCACTAATTACAGAGGAGACCCAATCTACAGGGAAAAAGAAGTCAGAAAACAGAAATCAAGAACAATACTTTGGCAAGAAATAATTTAAGAAGTGACTGATGGCCTGTCTGTGACATTTCATATTGGATCATATAAAATGTTCCTATTTTGAGAATTAAAAAAAAATGTGATTCACTGGGATTTCCCATAATCTGCTTGAGAAAAAGAGATTTTTTAAAAAAATAATTTACTTGTCAAAATAATCTGATTTGATGCAGTTTTTCTATCAATCTCCTAAGACAAAAATAAAAACAAATGTTCTTATTTTTTAAGTGCCACCAGAATAATATTCTATATAACCAGCTAGTAACCAAATTTCAGGAAAATTTTAAGAGTTTTAAAAGATGGATGGTGTAAGACTATTCCAGAATGTTCAGATGGAAAAGACTAGCTACTGTGTAAGGGCCCTGGAAGCTGGCACTTCTGGAATATTTTCTAACTAATGGTTATGAAAACCAAGTAAGTTTTTTACAAGGAGACTAGTGGAAATCAAAGATGATTTCATCTCAAGTTTATGCATGATAATATTCTGTGGGGCAGAGAAGGTCTAGTATTATTTCCAGTTTCTAAGTTCCAGAAAGTAGAAGTCACTCTGTTTTAATCTAGATGAAAATAGAGGCTCATGAAGCTCAAGAGACTTTTCCTTGTCTCAATCCTCTTGCACAGCAGATGGAAAGACTTCAGTGGGCACCATCGGTAGCAGCTTCCATCCTTACTTCTCACTTCTCTTACCCCCTGCATCCTGAAGTCCAAAGCTTATGATTTCTATGAAAATCCATCTTCTTTCAATTTAGAAGGGAGAAGGCGTGAACAAATAAAGCCACTGTATGTTTTCAAATCATCATTGTTATGTGCTGTGAAATCGAGAGGAAAGCCTGGTGGCAGGGTGATTAAAGTGCTCAGCTAAGAACTGAAAGGCTGGCAATCAAACCCACCAGCCACTCCATGGGAGAAAGATGTGTCAGTTTGCTGACATAAAGATTAAAAAAAAAAAACCCAAACTCACTGTTGTTGAGTCAATTCAACTCATAGCGACCCCTCCTTAGGTTTCCAAGGCAGTATCCCTACGGAAGTAGATTGCCTAATCTTCCTTCCAAGGAGTGGCTGGTGGCTTTGAACCGCCAGTCTTCTAGTTAGCAGTCAAATGCCTTAGGCACTATGCCACCAGAGCTCCCCCATAAAGGAAACCCTGTGGGATAGTTCTACTCTGTCCTACAGGGTTGCTATGAGTCAGAGTCAACTAGATGGCAATGGGTTTGCTTTGGTTTTGGTATATTTTCAAAAGCTTTCTTAAAAAATTAAAAACACACAAAAGCAGACTACATAGCTAATAAACTTAACTTCAGAAATAAATTGATTTTGAAAAGAAACATTTGGCTACTGTGGAAGAAGATAACTAATCTTTGGGACCTAGCAGACACTTGTCAGAATGCAACTGTTTATTTAAAATGCAATGAATTTTAAGAATTTAACAAACACATTGCAATTATTTCAGCTGTTTTTCTATGCATAAAACAAATATTACTTCATTTAATCAGTGTAACCATTTAATGAACTACATACCACTGTTGTTGTTGTTGTTATTTGCTGTCGAGTCGGCCCCGACTGATAGCGACCACTCCTTGGGTTTCCGAGGCAGTACCACTACGGAAGTAGGATTGCCCAACCTTCCTTCTGAGGAGTGGCTGGTGGGTTTGAACCGCCAGCCTTCTGGTTAGCAGTCAAATGCCTTAGGCACTATGCTACCAGAGCTCCTACATACCACTATTAACCCCATATTACTGATGAGGAAACTGTGCAGTTCCTCAAAAACACACAGCGATTAAATGGCTGAGCCAGGACTCAAACCCAGGGAGTATGACTGCAAATTCCAGATTAATATATGCAAAGCACTTAAAACAATGTGCAATTCATCAGAAGTACTCCATTATTAGCTATGATGTTTATTGTCTGCAGCATACACACACACACATGATTACCCTTTCTGCCTGCCAGAGCTTCAAACCGGTTCATTCTGATTCAGAACCTTGCTGAAAATTTGCCTTTCCTCTCTAGATAACACTAAATAAGAATCTATATTGTAAAGATTATGCATGTATACGAATCCCCTAAGGGTCTATAGGGGAGCTCTGGTGGCATAGTGCCTAAGGCATTTGACTGCAAACCAGAAGGCTGGTGGTTCAAATCTACCAGCCACTCCTTGGAAGGAAGGTTGGGCAATCTACTTCCATAGAGATACCACCTCAGAAACCCAAGGAGGGGTCGCTATGAGTCGGATCCCACTTGATGGCAGTCGCTTTTTTTTTTTTTTTTTTAAATAACATATCCTTAAGGCCATTGAGCTGACACTGACTTCAACAAGGTTCTCAGGTATCATTACTCTGTATCACCTGATTCCAAGCAGCCTTACCCACACCCACAGCAGGCTGCTCTTCACCTCTGTACTTTTATTCCTGCTTTCCCTCTGTCTAAACCAAGACTTGTTGCCATCAAGTCAATTATGACTCCTGCTGACCCCCTGTATGCAGAGTACACTGCACTCCATACGCTGTGATCTTTCGGAAGCATATCACCAGGCCTTTCTTCTAAGGCACCTTTTGAGTGGCTCTGAACCACCAGGCTGAGAATCCATCCTCCCTGGAGCCTTCCCTAACTCACCTCCCCAGGCCCTCACCACTTCTACCGGTCTGTGTGAAGTGTGCTCCAGGGACCAATTCTGCACACAACTATCAAAGGATAGTATTTATCCTGCCTCCTTAAATTGCATTCCTTCTTCAGCTTCATATCTGGGCACATACTTAGTACTCTCATACCAGTAATATTATTAGTGAACTGAATTTAGCGACATCTGGATAGCTTCAGATAAAAATAAACAAGTAAGATAGAAAACTCTAGGATGGAATTCTCTAGAAGCTAGGGGCAGAAGTGGATAGATCAAGCAGTCCCAATGGGCTCTTCTTCTAATACCTTTACTAATTAGTGAAAATACATAATCCTCATGCTAATACAGAAGCCATTCAAATAGGACATCACATTAAAAAAGATTAAGAAAACCAGTGTTAGAAGAGGGTGCAACTACACTCCAATTATAATTGTATACATGACAAACTAAGCCCCGTGACAAACTAAAACGTGACAATTTATAGCTCAAACAACAAAAATTGTTACTTCTTTGAGCAATGCAGAAAGTAAAGTCAAAACAAATTTTCACAGAATCAATTCATTCAGGATATATTAAGGGCCACCCAAGTGCCACATGCTATGTCATACAAGAAACATGCAAACAAAGATGAGTAAGATGTAAGTTGTGGTTCTTGCACTGAGGAATTCACTGCTTATTGGGAACAGCAGACAGAGAAATAAATCATTGCCACTTAAATAGTTCTGCACTGAATAACGTAAGATGCACAAGCAGCAGAAGATAAACTAGATGAATGGGACCTTCTAAAAGTTAAATTCTTATGTGCATCAATCAAAAGACCTCTAAAAGAGTAAAAAAGAAAACCTACAGAATGGGAAAAAATGTTTGGCAATAAGATATCAGACAAAGGACTTATCTCCGAAATTTATAGAAAACTCCAGCATGTCAACATGAAAAAGACAAACAACCCGATTAAAAAATGAGCAGAAGACATGAACAGACACTTCACCAAAGAAGATATTCAGGCAGCAAACACACATGAAGAAATGTTTGTGATCATTAGCCATTAGTGAGATGTAAATCAAAACAACAATGTGATACCATTTCACCCCTGCATTAATAGCAAAGTTCCACAAGACAGAAAACAACAAATGCTGGTGAGGATGTGGAAAGATAGGACTCTCATACACTGCTGGTGGGACTGTTAAATGATTCAATCACTGTGGAAATCAGTACGGTGATTCCTTAAAAACTTGCAAATATAAATACCATTAGATCCAGCAATGCTATTACTAGGTATATATCCTAAAACAGTGAGAGGCAGGGCATGAACAGATACATGCACACCCATGTTCATCGCAGCACTATTCACAAAAGCAAAGTGATGGAAACAGCCTAAATGGCCATCAACCAAGAAATGAATAACCAAACTGCAGTACATACACACAATGGAACAGTATGCAACCCTAAAGAATAATGTAGAATCTGCAAAACAGCGCATAATGTGGATGAACTTGGAGGACATTATGCTGAGTGAAATAAGTCAATCACAGAAGGACAAATATTGTATTAGTCCACCATTGTAAAAAGTCAAGGAAAAGTTTATACATGGAAGGAAACTTTCTTTGCTGGCTACTAGGGATTAGTGGTAGTGGTGGGGTTGTCTAAACTCCCAGGTAGGGTGGGGTGTAAAACAATACACACACACACACACACACACAAAT